AATATAAATTCTGCTCTTACTGGATGAAAAGTTCTCCAAAATGTCAATTCAGTCAAGTTGGTGGCTGGTATTGTGCAAGTCACCCTGTAGACATTGTGATTTTCTGTCCACATGTTCTATCAACATTCCTCAGCACAGTGATGAGATAGACAACTATAATTACAGATTTGTCGATTCCTTTTTCAGTTCTACCAGATTTTGCCTCATGAATTTTGAATCTGTTATTAGCCATATATACAATTAGGACTGCTACATCCTTTCCATGAAATGACTGTTACTATGAAATAGGACTCTCTTTATCCCTCGTAACATTCCTTGTTCTGAAGTCTGGTTGGCTGGATATTAATATAGTCATTCTAATTTTCTTTTGATTAGTTTTTCAATGGTATATACATTTTCTGCCCTTTTACTTTCAAACTATTTGTGTCTTTAGATTTAAAATAGGGTTTTCTGTAGAGATGAGAGAGTTGAGTCTTGTTTTTATAAACGACAACCTGGTAAATTCTGAGATATTCATAGGAGTTTAGCAGGGTTTAAATCTACTCTCTCGCTATTTGTTTTCTATTTGTCCTATTCATTTTTTATTTCTTCTTCCCTGCCTTCTGGATTAAGTTGTTGTTGTTTTGGTTTATTCCTATTCCATTTAGTCTCCACTATAGGCTTACTAACTAAACCTCATTATTTTTCTAGTGATTGTTCTAGGGCATGTTTCAACACAAAAAATTCTATAAAAGGACAGAGAGTAAATATTTAAGGATTTGTAGGCCACATGGTCTCTGGTATAATAAATAACTTTGCCATTAAATGCCAAAAAGCCATGCATATAAGTGTAGCTGGGTTATAATAAAGCCTTTTTCATTTTTAATTATCATATTAGTAGTTGTACTGGAGGTACATTGTACAAAATTTCTTATAATTTATCAGAGTTGAATTCACCCCCTCCATCATTCTCCTTTATCTCCCCCTCCCCCATTCCTGGAATAGTTTCAACAGGTCTCATTTTTCCATTTTCAAACATGAGTACATATTTCCACTACATTCATCCTCCTATACGTTTATATTTTCCCCTCCTCCCACTGGTACCAACCCTCCAGACAGCACCTGTTCTCCAATTTTGAAAAAAAGACATTTTTGTTAAAGATAGGTATACAGGGTGTTTCATTATGACACTTTCATGTATATATGTATTATAACTCTAATTGGTTCATCCCTTCTATTTTTCTCCTTCTTACCTTAGTCCCTTATTCTGGTGATTTCAACAGGTTTAAAAATCCTATATTTGTTCTTGTATAGAAAATGTTTCAACCAATAAAGCTTTTTGCCAAAGCTGTTGGCAAATAAAATGTTAATATGGAGGGAAAAACAGGCTTAAACCAGAGTTGGTCTATAGGTAGTATCTGCCAACCGAGGCTCTAGGGTTTACAATGTACACTTTTAACCTACCATGATGTAGCTTCAAATAATCTTTTACCATGCTACCTGCTGTGTAAGCACTTAACAACAGCAAACATTTTTCTTTTTTTTTTTTTTGCAGTACTGGGGCTTAAACTCAGGGCCTTCACCTTGAGCCACTCCACCAGCCCTATGTTTGTGAAGGGTTTCTCCAGATAGTATCTCACAAACTTTTTGCCCAGGCCGGCTTTGAAGCATGATCCTCCTGATCTCTGCCTCCTAAGTAGCTAGGATTACAGGCGTGAGCCACAGGCACCCAGCATGTATTGTTGTCACGTATTTTATCTTCCAGGAAAGGCATAAGCCTCACACAATACATTGTTATTATTTTTGTTTTAAACATTTGCCTTTAAAGAGATTTTAAAATGAGAAAAGATGTCTTTATGTTTACCATGCATTCACTCTTTCTGGCATTCTTCTTTCCTTTTGTGAAGATCTACATTTCTATCTGGCAAAAGGAGTTGTCATTTAACACTGAAGGGCAGATCTATCAGTCTTGAGTTCCCAGTTCTGGTTTGTCTAAAAACATTTTTATTTTGAGTTCAATATTAGAAGGCATTTCACTGAATAGGAACTCTAGGTTGACATTTTACTCCAGTTCTTTAGTGATGCCTTTCTGTTGACTTCTGGCTTTGTATAGTTAAGAAATTCTGGATGTCTTTTTTTTTTTTCTATTTTAAGATTCTCTTTATCTTTGATTTTTAACAATTTCATTATGAATATGATGTCCTTTGACATGGTTTTCTGCATGTTTATTTTGGTCAGACTTTGTTGAGCATCTTCAGTTTGTGAGTTTCTATTCTTCCATCACATTAGGAAATTTTAGAGCCATTTCTTCAAAAATTAGGGTGTTTTTTCTATCTCTCCTCTCTCTCTCCTTTCCTTCTGAGTCTCTACATGTATGTTAGACCACTTGATAATTCCTCACAGGACAATGAGGCTCATTTCTTCCTTAGTTATTATTCTTCATGTTACTGCTACAGTGTCTTCAAGTTGCCTGATTTTTTTCCTTTGGTAGTGTCTAATATCCTATTAATCCAATTCAGGGAATTTTTCATTTCAGATAGATGTTTAGCTCTTAAAGTCTCATTTGGTTCTTTTTCCCCTTGCTTTTTTTTTTTTTAATTTTTTACTATCATATTACTGTTCTACTGGGGGTACATTGTGACATTTACAAAAGTTCTTAAAATATATCATAGTTGAATTCATCCCCTACCCCAGTTCTTTTTTAATACTGTCCTATCTTTCTTCATTATAGTCATATATTCCTTTAAGTCCATAAACATATTTATAATAGCTATTTTTAAACTCTTAAAGTCCTATTCTCCTAATTCTATCATCTCTGTCATTTCTGGGTCTCCTTCTATTGACAGAATTTCCTTTTGGTGATGTGTCACATTTCTTCATGTCTCTAGTATTACTTGACTGGATGCTGGACATTTTAAATGCTACTTTAAGCATTTAGGTTTTGTTGCCTTCCTTTGAAGAGTGCTGAGTTGTGTTTTGGCAGGTACTTAAGTTACTTCTTTTCAAACCCTCTTAGCAAGGTTTCAGGTAGTCGTTATACTATAGGAGGGGCTGGAAAACTTTTTCTATAAAGAGTCAGGTAGTAAATCTCTTTAGGCTTTGTGGACCCAAACTACTCAATTTAATTATGTAAACAAATGAGTGTGGCTACGTTATAATAAATTTTACTTATTTTTAAAAAAATAGGTGACACGGTAGATGGACTAGGATTTGGCCCACTGGTCAGAGTTTGCTGACCCTTGCTCAGGATCTAGGTTAACCCTACCACTAATGGCCCTTCTGGGGTCTCCATAGATAGTCCAAGATGTTCAAGAGGTCTTTCACTCTAGTTAGCAAGAATGTGAACACCTTTCCTTTCAGTCCTATGTGAGTTCTGGTTATTATTCATTTCACAGCCCTCAGTTTTTGTTTTTTTTCCCTAACAATGTTTCTGGCCTGGCCTCGTGGAATTACACACCATAAAAATAAATCTTAATCTCCAGTCAAAACTCCAAAGAATCCCAAGGCATACTCCTGGAGCTCTTTTTCTGATGAGTTCTCTCTCTTCCTATATCCTGCTTCTTAAATTTCAGGCACTCAGCCCCCTGAACGCTTATATCTGCCTCTTAACCTTGGTGAGATCATGTTTGCTTGGTTCCCTGTCCTTATGCTGTGTTGTTGTGAGCAGAAGAAAACAGAAGTCAAGGTGATCAGAGCATGGAGACATAAGAAACTGAACTAAGCATCTGCATTTTCTACCTGAACAGAAAATTCAGTGACAGGAGAGGCACAGCAATTACTAGAACCAAGAGGCTTGCAAGGCTCCTACTTGCCATTCCTTGGCAGAGTACACCAATTAAAGGAAGTCATCTGCCTTCTGACCTCTCTGTCCCTGTTGATTTTAGATGTACTACCTATGTGATGATGCCTTAGATGCTAATATACTATGATAGCTTCTGCAAAACTTTCTTTCTTCTCCACAAGTCTAATTATCCCAATGGGCCACCACTTTGGATCCCATTTTAATTTTCTAGGTTGAAAAGACAGGCCCAAACTGATCCCATCCTTCCAATATGCAGCAGAATTAGTCTCCAATGAAAAGTTAGAGAATTCTTGATAAAAGAAAATCACCTTGCTTGACTACAAAAGGCAGCTGACTAAAGTCGTGGAGATGACAACAGAGAGGCTACTTTAAAATCTCTCTCTACAGGAACAAACATAATTTAGGAGCAACCCACAGAACAAGTAGGGTAACCAAGACTCAGAGAAGGTATACAGCTTATCTTCTTCTAAAAATATTTGGTTCCAAGACTCAGCACTCCTTTGACACTGACTCATTTTTCTCCGATTGGCAATATTTCCAGGTGTGGAAAGAGTAGGAAAACACAGACAACTATTTTTTTTTATTTTAACATTCCCTTTTAACTAAAAGTATTGGTGTCTTCTTCCAATAAATGGATTTTGAGAGAACCCCTGCTTCTCTGCATTTTCCAGCTTATTTCATTTTATGCCAGATATGTGACAGCATTCAAATACTTGTTGTTTTGTTATTTAAGATGGGATAGTAGCATGCCAGAGTTTCTCCCACAAGTCAGTATAAAAAAATAGCTTTTCTCAAGCAATGTTAAGCAGCAGAATACTTCACCTCACCTTCATAGTGAAGGCTTTATTATATATTTTTTTAATTTATCAAGGTACTAAGCACTAAGAGCTCTATTCATTTGACTATAACCACCAGCACAGCTGGTCTATTTGTGGAGATTCAAGGCCCTGTAAGGTGAACCATCTCATGCTAGGAGCTTAGACACCCTTCTACAACATGGTACTGACTTCCCCAGCAATAGTGATAGTGATGAGAGAATTCCACACTGGGCTCTGCCCAGAGAGTGACAGCAGCATTAAAAGAATTCCCAGTAGGTCATGATGCAATAACTGGCATAAAAGACCAACCACTGTCCCTAAAAAAAGACTGTTCTCTTTACTACTATCACCCCACCTCCCATTTTCCAGGTAAACGTTTCCTCAAAATAAGTAGTACTTACCCTACTATTACTATAACAAAATCCAGTAAATTCCATCCATTCCTAACATAAGCATTAGGGTGTAGCAATAATCCATATGCTATAATCTTCAAAAATGTCTCAACTGTAAAAATAATCAGGAAGGCATATTCTACTTTTTCCTGTGAAGAGAAACAAAGAAACACACCAACAAGGGAGAAAGGACAATGATTAGAATCAACATCTCTAAGGTATAAGTATTTTTCTCCAGGTTATGAGAAATGGAGCAATTACACCATACCTCAACCAAGAAAGCATTTTAACACTGAACGTTAGTGTAGTACACTTTCATCCCAGGCTGCATGACTGCATTTCGCCACCTATTCTGATGCATGTGCAGTGACTCTGCCTTGGATATAACAGGTATGTCTTTTATTTGCACATATTTGCAAAATATGGCATGTTTTCCTCCTGAGATTGCCAGCTCAGCCCCAGAATTGCACAACAGTGCAACTGATATTCCACTGGTGGATTTGGACAGAATGTCCTCTGGAAGAAATGAACATGTTTGTATTTTGATTCTTACAATTTCTTTGGTTTACTTCTAACTTCTCAAGTCAAAGTTATCTTTGTCACTGAGTAGCAATATGACCCTGGGTGAGTCCCTCTCTTCCTCCAGACATAAGTGGCTTCATCCACAGAATACAAGGGAATGACTTCAGATAGCAAACACACTGCTTGATTATTGTCATGCTGCCTCTCCCTTATTAACACTGCTGACAGCCACCATGCAGTTGCCCAGGGAGCCTGGGCCCAGCCTCCAAATCCTTTTCTATGAATCCCAGAGGCCCCTCCCACTTGATTGCCATACACCTCAGCAGTGCTGCATGGTCTAGAAGATTGTGAGAATCTTTCCAGTTCCAACCCGTAAGAGGAAAACACTCCAATCAACAGGTCTAAACATTTTTTGACTATTTCCTCTTTTATAAATGCTTTCATTATTCAGCCCTGGTTTCAATTAGAAACATGGATGGATAGAGATATATGTCCTTGGCATTCCCTGGCAGGGAGCTACTTAACAAAACAAGAAAACATCAGCAATTACACCTCTTCAATGTGGGTTGTAAAGTACTCTACTAGTATTATCTTTGGGCCCAGATCCTTATGGAACCAGAAGTCGTAGAATTCACTTCTTATGCCTAGTACAGGAAATCAAAAATAAGTTTGGCTTCAGAAATACTCAGTGAGCCACCTCTTCTGCATAACAGACTGTATACCAAGAGCCAGGATTAGAAAAACATCCCCATGCTGGTCTCCAACCTTGGTAAATTTGGTCTGATGTAGGGGACATGAGGGCTTCCAACATTCACACAAAGAACTTCTAAAACCACATGAGGGTAACTGCCAAGAACAATTCTCCATCTTCAGCCCTCAGCTAAGGCCCAAGGACTCATCCACATCTCCCTCACTGTTCCATTTCACAACTGATAATGGGGGATTTTGCTATATTATATGTGACCCCTATTGTAGATATAGTTTTAGGAAGCTCTTTTTTTGGGGGGAAGGGGGTGGTACTGGGGCTTGAACTTAGGGCCTTATACTTACTAGGTAGATGCTCTGCCACTTGAGCTACTCTGCCAGCCTGTAGATATAGTTTTATAAATGCAAATTTTGGTTTAGAAAATGCTTCTGAAAGAAGCTTTTTATTTCTGGAATCATCTTTTAACATACTCATTTCAGGATGATTTTCACAGACCCATAACTCCTTAAAATATATTAACCTTATATATATTCCCTTGTAGCAGCCCTAGCACTCTTTTACATGTAAATGTGAATTTTGCATAAGCGACCCTTAGGCTCCAGCTATCTGCTTCCACAGTACTGCCCCTAAGTCTCTGGCTGCTCTTGGCAAAACTTCCCCATGGCTTGCCACCAATATCATTCTTCTTGGCCACCAGGGGAACATCCCTCTATGGCTCTGCATCTAGGGAATTACCCACATTTTCAACTCCCTTCTGGTCACGTAAAAGCCAATTCATCAGTTTTTCCTTCCCCAGCCCCACAGCAATCATGGCCATTTCTAATCCTGCCCTTCAGAGCTTCCCTTGATCCTTGGTTAGCCACCACAGTCTAATAAAAATCTTTTTGGTGCATGTTATCCAGAGTCAGTGTGTTTCCAATATAAAAAGCCTACCTTATTCCCAACCTCAATATCCATGCCTTCAAGCAGGTTACATTCTCAACTAGGATCATCCTGAGCCCGCGGTACCTTCTAGTTCTTACCCCCTCCCAACTTCCCACTCCCTTCACAAGGCCATGTCTCTGGGCTGGGCAGCCCTGGGAGATGCTCCCAGAGTGGCATATACCTCCTCTCATGCCACACATAGACCTATAAGACTGCCTTTGTTTGTGACCCAGATTCCTTGTCATTCTGTTTCCTGATACATCCATCAGTGGATGTCCCCAGAGGAGGCATACTGTACAATTCCACATTCAAACTACTGCAAATACACAGAGGATCAGGGCCTAACTTTGCTACTGGATAGAGGGGACAGATCCAGGAAGTCTTCAATGTAGCAGGAACATTAAATCTGAGAGCTCAAAGAAAAAAGAACTCTGTTACTTTAACCAGAGGCAAAAATCCCTAAAAATATCAACCTGCTGTACTCAAATTTGGTGGCCCCTGACCACCAAATGTACATCGTCAATATGTTTTCAAGACTTTGTGTTCTGAGGGAACAAGATAATCTAAAAACAGCATACTGATTTTACAATTTCTCTTCTCTTTTTATTCCTTCTGCTTTATTTACTAGGCCAGACAGGGGGAAAAAAGGCTTTTGCTGGCATCAATATTCATAGCAGTTACATCCCTATGTCAAGACAGCACTATACTTCAGAGCAGAAAAACAAGGCAGAGAACAAAGAGTACACCTAGCAAACACAGCTTGTTTTTTCCTCATTGGCTTTTATTTATAAGTAACTTTACCACAATAATACAAGGGCTATTAGTAGAAATGAATTGTTTAAGGTTCTTTTTTTACCCCTCCCTTATTCTCTTCCCTCTTCTTTTTAAAGACTTTGGCTCCTCTTCCCAAAATCCTTAGTGAGGGAATTAATGATAAGAAATATAACCTTGCTTTAATGTGATTTTTTATCACAGAGATTCTACCACAATGCCAACTGAACAATCACAGTCTGAACAGCACTGTAAACCAATATGCCTAGAAGCCAGTGTTGTCCTGGTCCACAATCCTGACTTTACAAAGGACTCCTATGAGGTAAGTATACCTCTACATTGCACAAATTTAGTGTTAAAAAAAAAACAATTTACACAACAAGGATCAAGGAAAATGGGAAATCATTTTTCTCAAAAGTCTTGCTCATCTGAGAAAAGAGAGTTGAATTAATTTGAAAAGTCACCAAGAAAACCTAGTTCTAACGAGACAAGGCAGAAATGTGCTTGGGGGCAAAGAAACCAGGTGAGACGCAGCAAGGGGAAGGCACTGAGGTCTATGCCTGAGACACACAAGAGCACTGAGGAAGAAGCCAGAGGAAAGATGAAAGAAGGGATGTCTGGGGAAGGGGCAAGAACCCGCCAGACCAGACACAAAGCTTTGGACAAGAGCTACATCATAAAAGTGTCTCCCACCCAGCTAAACAGAAAGGTCCATACAGTCCCCCTCCATTTACTAAGCAGAGTCAAGCCCTAGGCTTTTGTCTTTCAGCCACCTACAAGCAGGGGTTTCTTCTCACTGGCTGAAGGTCCTAAGTGGGTAGGGCCAGTCAAACCTCCCTTTAGAAAACCATCACCGATACTACCCTAGATATGGGCTTAAGCACCACCCCCCATACACCCCATGAAACCTCAGGCCATCAGAAAAGTAAAGACTCAAATCTAATTCTGAAATTTAATTTTTAAACAATGAAATTTCACCAACAAGGTAATCTCTAAGCCAACATTTTCTGAAATAGTCTACAGTCTCTAAACAAGTTAACCCTACAGAGAACCTTAAGAAATAGAAACTATTAACTACCAAGGGCTGGGAGATGCCAGAATCCTTAATAACACTTGGTTCTTTCCTATTCCCAGGGATCCTTTTACTACTGCTGTGGTAGCAACACTGTTTATCTGCCGATCCATCCATCCATTCATCCTGAGTATCTGGTTCCTCCCTAGGAAAGCCTGATTCCTAACCTCACCCAGCTTCCAACCTGCTCAGGAGAAAGGCTTCATGCACCTAGGTGACATTCACCTTAGCTTTACTCATTCACCCACATGGCCCCAAGTTTATGGGAAAGCTTTCCTGGTCTACACTCTGCCAATAGCTGTCCCTCCCCCATCTCTTTCTGTGCTCTGCCAGTACCCAGCAGTCCTGGGCTCCCTATTAGTGGGAATCATCCCTAAGTGTCTTTGTAACTCTAACATCTAGTACCATATCCAGCGTACATAAGGCACCCATAGGTGCTACTAGGAAGCAGTGAAGGGAAAAGATGAAAGAATAAAGCAATAACACTAGACATAAAGATGACCTATAAAAGCATGAGGTTTTGTGATCCTAGCCTATATGTCAAAAAGAAAAAAAACAGGCTATCTTCTAGAACAAGTCTGGAATACTTAAATTACTAAGATAAAAGCTGAAATCATCTTGCCTGGCCCTCCCCTTCCATCCCAACCTGCAGACCCAAGAGTAAAGTCATCATCCTTCCATCCGTTCCTAGCTTTCTCTCCCAAATTTTCCACTTCCCCAAGAACCTTTCACTGCACACAGTAAACCAACCTGCTATCCCCCACACATGCCAGTGCCTTCCTACCTATTTGCCTCTGCTCAGCCTGCTTCACTCACCTGGTGCTCCTGCCCCCCTATATTTAAGTGTCCTTCTTCAGACAAAGTGAGCACAAGCGCCATGATTCAGGACTGAAAATAAGCCCTGCATAGTTAACTGGAAAGGACACTGAGCTTGTAGCCATAATATTTGGGTTTTGCTAGCCCCAGCTGAGCCACTGTTTCATGCTGTGACCCTGAGCCACAGTGGAACCATTCCACATCTGGTTCCCTCTTTCTATAAATGGCTCCTTATTCCCCCTTTTCATCAAGCTAAGCTCTACTTGTCCTTCAGGGTTCAGCAAAACTTTTATTAACCTCCCAGATAAAACTGGAGCTCGCTGTCAAAACACATTATA